CCGACCTGCAGCGTGTCCAGGAGCTGATGAGGAGAGAGATGGAGCTGGGGCTGGGCCGGGACACCAACGCCAACGCCACTGTCCGCATGCTGCCCACCTACGTCTGCGGCACGCCTGATGGCACTGGTGAGGGCTGGGGGCCTGGGTAAGGGGATGCTGGGGAGCCCGTGGCCCCACTGACGTGCCGTGCTGGATCCCTGCAGAGCGAGGCGAGTTCCTGGCGTTGGACCTGGGGGGGACCAATTTCCGGGTGCTGGTGGTGCGCGTGGCAGAGGATGGCATCCGCATGGCCAGCGAGATCTACGTCATCCCCACCGCCATCACACAGGGCACCGGCGAGGCGGTGAGGCTGAGGACCTGCGGCTCAGGGACGGGGTGAGGGGTGGGAATTACCTCCCCCATCGCTGCCCACGGGCCTGGAACTTGGGCGGCTGGAAGACCCCCACAGCATCACCCCAGCCTGCACCTTGCTGACTGTGGTGACCCTCTGCAGCTTTTTGACCAGATCATCGAGTCCATCATGGACTTCCAGCAGAAGCAGGAACTGATGGATCACGTCCTGCCGCTCGGCTTCACCTTCTCCTTCCCCTGCCAGCAGCTGGGCCTGGATAAGGTGAGGGGGCGGCTTTGACCCCAGGGGAATTGGGAGGGCCCCAGGGTCCAGGCAGCTGCCTGGTCCCACTCTGGCCTCTCTTGCAGGCGGTGCTGCTGAGCTGGACCAAAGGCTTCAGCGCCTCGGGCTGCGTGGGGCAGGATGTGGTCCAGCTGCTGCGGGAGGCAGCCCAGCGCAAACAGGTAGGAAGGGGCTGGAGGCCCGTCCCCTCTGCTTCGGGTGCCACCCTGCACCCTGGCAGTGCCAGTCCCAGGAGACGTCTGGGTGCCACTAAGCCACGTGTGTCCCTGGCTCTGGTTTGGCAGCACTTAGGGCTGAAGGTGGTGGCCGTGGTCAATGACACTGTGGGAACCATGATGTCCTGTGGCTACGACGACCCCAAATGTGAAATCGGCCTCATTGTGGGTAAGGAGAACTTCTGCACCCATGGGGGTCTCCCATCCCCTCACCAGCACCCCAGCCCATATGGCATGGCCACAGGGTACCAAGCAGCTCTGCCAGGGATGTGCTAGGGGTGACATCAGTGTGGGGCCTCTAGGGACAGGGACCAATGCCTGCTACATGGAGGAGATGCAGAACGTGGGCACCGTGGAGGGGGATCAGGGCCGCATGTGCATCAACATGGAGTGGGGCGCCTTTGGGGATAACGGCTGCCTGGATTACTTCATCACCAGCTTTGACCAGCTAGTGGATGAGAAAACCATCAATCCGGGCAAGCAGAGGTAGGCAAGGGCCCCAGGGCAGGGAGGGGGCCAGGGCGGGGTGGGGGTGGCTGTGCCTCTCTAAGGCTGTGCCTGGGACAGGTTTGAGAAGCTCATCAGCGGCATGTACCTGGGCGAGATCGTGCGCCATGTCCTATTGGCACTGGTGGAGAAACAGCTCCTGTTCCACGGCAAACCCAGCCCCAAGCTCCAGACCAAGGACATATTCCAGACCAAGTTCCTCTCCACCATTGAGATGTGAGTGCTGTGCTCCACTGGGTTCCCTGAGCCCAGAGTCGGGGGGTGTGAAGCCAGAGCCCAAGGAGAGGGGCCATGCTACATTGGTGGGAAGCATGCAGGGTGATGCTGCCCCCAGCCCAGGGGATGGGGACGGTGACGGGGACGGTGGTGCTAAAGGTGCCCCTTCTCCGGGGCAGCGA